TGACATGTTTTTGAGGTTCAACAGGCCTTCATTTCCATACCTGGTCAATTGGAATAGCCCCCTAACTGGAATCACTGTTTTATTTTTTCATCCCTTCCTTAGGCTGTGGCATACAAGCTAAAGTCCAAACTCCTTAGAAAAGCATTCATTTAAAAAAAAGAGAAAAGAAGAAAAAACATTCCTGCTTCATTCTGGCTCTAAACTTCCACGCATATCTTCCACATATCCTGTGTTCTAGCCACTCCAGACAATTGACTAGTCCCTAAATTCTGCATTTTGTCTTCCTTCTGGGCTTATGTTTATTTTGCTTCCTCCTTAATTACTTCTACCCTTCTCTTCTTATTTATGTATTAAGATTCATCTTAGCCCCCCTTCAAACATTCCCTGACCTTTCAGACCCATCCCATTGAAATTAACTCTTCCTTGCTTCCTGTGTTCCCAAGATGTTTTGCTTTTCCTTCTACTGTACTTACTAATCAGTCATTATCAGTTGTTGAAATGAAAACACCAATTCATTTTTCAGTATTTATTGAGCACCTGCTTCATTTGTAGGATCTGGGCTACAGTGGTGAACAAAACAAACCTGCCCAAATAAAATTTCTATTCTAGTGGGATGATAGGTGAAATCATGTTACAAACTGGCTTTGCCAATTTCCCACAGTTTTCTTATGGTAAGGATGTAAGGTTGGAATTTACAATGTATTCATGATTTTATTAAATACTCTAATGAATCTTTGGAAGTAATATGCCTTCTTTTCCTTGAGATAGTTCTAGAACTTGATCTCAGTGTTACTGACTATTTAGTTAGGGCTCCACATTTAATGTAGATTATAGTTTTGCCTCTGTACCAATTACCTTGAAATGTGAAAAAAGTGATTAGTTATTTTTTGTAAGACAGTATTTGAGACTAAGTTTTAGTAGTTCTTACCATTCTTAAGATTTTATTCTCTAGGCAAACTTTCTACATTCTCCCTCTTTCTGATTCTATTTCCATCCCTCAAAGAATCGGGAGTAAAAAACATATACAGGGTGTCCCAAAAAAATGTATGCACACACTTTGAATAATTATAAAGGCAGTGGGTATACACACTTTAACAGCTGATAGTTCAATTTTGAAAATGAAATGTATTTTAATGAACACTGCCTTTATGATTATTCAAAGTGTGTGTATACATTTTTTTGGGACACCCTGTATATTAGTTACTATTTCTCTGTGCCAAGGTTCCTGGTTATCTGTGAGCTATTAGGAATGTTACTATCTTTTACTTTGTTATAAGAAGAGCAGAACATGCCCTGGCCAGTGTGGCTTAGGTTAAGAGTGTCGGCCTGCACACCAAAGGGTTGTGGGTTCAATTTCCGATCAAGGGCACATAACTGGGTTGCAGGGTTCGATACCATCCCCAGTTGGGCCCAATTGTTGTGAGAGACGTCGATGTTTCTCTCTCTTTTCCTCCCTCCCTCCCTTCCCCTCTCTCTAAAAGTCAATGGAAAAAAATAACCTCCAGCGAGGGTTAACAACAACAAAAAAAGGAGCAGAACAGAAACTTTTTTTGTCCCTACTAATATGCAGAGCAATCAAGGAGCATTTGTTTACTTCTTTTTCCTTTTCAAAAGGGATGTAATACTTCTGAAACTTAATATCAAGATAAGCAATTCTATGTTGAAATGTTCTGCTTTTGTTTTTTCCATATTAACTTTTTCTGGCAGTTTCCTGATGGCGATGTGAGGTACAAATGACATGTATGTTTTTTTCTCTCTCTTGTTGTTTCATGATGGTAATTTCAACCCTGAGAACAATTTGTAATTAAAAAATAAAATGAATGTCTGTCGTCATGTTATCTACTGTAGGTTGTCAAAAAAGCAGACATGATCAACAAAAATATGACTCATCAGGTACAAGCTGAGAGGGATGCACTAGCCCTAAGCAAAAGTCCTTTCATTGTCCATTTGTACTATTCACTGCAGTCAGCAAACAATGTCTACTTGGTGAGTAAACAGTTTTACTTTTTTGTCTTCAATCAGCAATCACTGAACCCAGTGACTTAAGACTAAAGTCTCTGGGCTCAGATTACCTGGGTTTAAATTCCAGCTCTTGCATTTACAGTCAAACCTCCGTTCTCAAACAATTCGGTTCTCTACCAAGTTGTTTATGGGAAAATTATGTCATTTGTTGAACAACCCTTTCATGCTGATACGTCAGCATGACAAAAGGTGTCTCTCAGGCCACAAAGTAGAGAATTTGAGTCAGAATCTCTGAGGAAAATGTGCTGTGAATATTTTTGTGGTTTTTTTTTTTTTTGCTTTTGTTGTTGGTGAAATTGATGATTAGCACAATTTTAAAACATAAAGAGGCCATCAAGAGTGCTAATGTTGCTAAGGGTGTGAAAGAAACATGATCATAGGCAACTAAAGAGGAAGAAAAACTGTTGTTGATTTGAATAAAGGAAAAGCAGTTAGCCTGTGATAGCATTTCAGAGGCAGTGATAAGTGAAAAAGCAAAGATGCCTCACGTTGACTTCTTAGAAGACATGCTGGAACGAGTGCTGAAAGTGATTTGTTTAAGGCCAGTAGACGGTGATTCAATTGACTTAAGAAAAAAAGTGTTTGTTTATAGATTAAACAGTGCATTAGACATGTACTGTATATAAGGAAGATTAAAACGGAATCATTTGGGGGTCTGGAATGAATGAATTCAATTTACATTACAAATTGCTTCTCGAACAGCCTTCCTGAACAAATTAAGTTCGAGAATTAAGGTTCCACTGTACTAGCTTTAGGATCTTGGCCAAGTTACCTTACCTGTCCTATTAGTCACACTTCTCTGGAGAAAAAGAATGGGGGGGTGGAGAGAGAAGGGGGGGGTTTATTTTAAGGAATTGCCCTCAGTGATTGTGGGGACTGGCCAGTCTGAAATCTGCAGGGTAGGCTTGCAGGCTGTAAATCCAGGAAAGAGTTTGAAACCAGACAAAGAATAGGTCGGGGCTGCCTGTCACCATTTGAGCCTGTTAAGCAGAGACAGAGTTGAATCATACATGAGCACTTATTCCAGTAATGTGGGCAGTATGGGGGAGCAGCAGGTCATCCACAAAAATCTGCTCTATCTCCCCTCATAAGCCCGCTGCTTATATTGGGTAGAAGGACAAAGATTCCATGGGAAAGTAGGAACTACCGGCATGGGGAAGTAGGCGAAGTATAATGGTTACAGGTTACAAGCAGTGCGGGCTGGGGGTCGCAAAGGATGGGCACCTCCATTGTTTCTGCCACAAGGTTGGTAATCTTCCATGATGATAGGCAGTACTCGGAACAGGAGAATGGGCTGCATTCCGAGGTTAATTCCCATGTCTCAGGGCATACAGCTCTCAGGTGAGAATGCTTTCTCTATAATCAGAACAGAACAATCCCAGTTAACAGAGCATGATTAATATTTCTTATAACTATAGTTAGTCCCCATTGTTCTATTTCTGCCCCTAACAAGTTGACATTGCAGCTCCAATCCAAAAGCAATGTAGAGGCAGAATTCCCTCTTTTTGGCTAGGGTGTGGATGGGGGCGGCGGCTACAGGTGGAGGACTACACTTCTGTCTTTTTTTTTTTTCTTAAGGCCTTGAACTGGTTGGATGAGGCCCAACCACATTAAGGAGGGTAAACACCTTTTACTCAAAATCTACAGATTTAAATGTAATCTCATCTAAAAAAAACTTTCACAGCAACATTTAGATTGATATTTCACCAAATAATCTGAATACCGTGGCTTAGCTAAGTTCACATAAAATTAATCATGTGTTGTTCATTTTGGTCAATAGCAGACTATATATAGCACAGTGATCTCATAAAATGTTAAGGGAGCTGAGAAATTCCTATCTTTTAGTGACCTTGCAACTTCATAGCACAGTGCATTACTCATGTGTTTGTGGTGATGCTGGGATAACAAACCTACTACACTGCCAGTCATATAAAAGTATAGCACATATAATAATGTACAGTACAGTTGCGGGGAGGTAGAAGTGGAAGAAGGTATAGGGGGAATAAATGGTGATGGGAAAAAATCTTTTAAATAAAATTTTTTTTTTAAATCAGAGGGAAAAAATAATGTACAGTACATAATACTTTATAATGATAATGAGTGACTATGTTACCAGCTTATGTACTTACTATACTATACTTTTTATAATTATTTTACAATATACTCTTTCTACTTATAAAAAAAAAGTTTGTGGTAAAACAGTATGCTGTGTTAGTTACTCCAGTAGCACTCTCATAATCTCGAGTTTACTGCCTCTCTTGATCGCTTCATTTTCTTTTCTGCTCTATTTAATCGCATGTTGTTTTGTACAGGGTTATAGGAGCAATATGTTGTACAATATAGCCTTGGTGTGTAGTTGGCTGTACTGTCTAGGTTTCTGTAAGTGCACTCTGTGATGTTTGTACGACGACAAAAATGCATAAAGACAGTTCTCAGATTGTATTCCTATCATCAAATGACATGTCTACAAAATGAGATATCTATCTCAAAGGTTGTTATGAAATTTCAGTAGGTTAATATAAAGCCTGAATAACAATGTGTGGCACATAGTGATAAACTTACTTGATAAGAAAAGGACATATAAATACGAGAAAAACTCATGGACACAGACAACAGTGTGGTGATTGGTGGGGCGGGAGAGAGGTGGAAGAGGGTATAGGAGAATAAATGATGATGAACGGAGAATTCACTTGGGGTGATGAACACAATACAGTGTACAGTCCATGTGTTGTAGAATTGTGCACCTGAAACCTGTGTAATTTCGTTAACCAGTGTCACCCTGATAAATCCAATAAATAGGGGGAAAATAGACACATAACAGAAATGTTAAAGTTTGGTGTATAATAAGAAAGATATTAGGAAGGAGTGGATTTGGAGGGTGTGGAGTTTGAGAGGTGCTTGCTTTTCATTTAAAGGAGCAGCATACACTCTATTTAATTCCAATGAATTGGAGGGGGGCAGGCAGGAAGAGGTGAGGATGGCAGATATTTTGACTACAAATGCTACAAGTCCTTCTGACTTCAGAGATGGTCTGTGGATTAACTTTGGTAACTCCAAAAGCTTCTGTTTAGTATGTACAAGTGGTTTTCTGTGGGTGAATTTTACTTCAGCATGTAGATTTTAGACCTGGGATTTATGTTTATCAACAGAAGGCTCATTCCATTTGTGATCTGACTGTCCTTAAGAGTGGAAGCCCTTTTTCGTTGATATGCTAAAGCTCTCTTGCATCTCAGTGGAACATAATTGTGCCAAACTTCAACTTTTGCTATACCCAAAACTTAGATTGAGCAGAGCTCTAATATTGAAGAACATGATACACAGCTTCAAACTATAGACCTGGTCATTTAGGATACATTATAAAAATAGAGTCTATTCTAAAACTCCTTTGGTACCTCGGGGTTAAATATATTTCTAATCTTTCAGTAAATCTGTGAGTATATTTAGACTCATGTTAAATGTTACAAACCAATTGTTTAATTAATGCATCAAATGTGATCATATTGTAAATACTATTTTTCTACCAGTGTTTTTCCACTTAGTAAAGTGGTGACCTGATAGAATCACACAGATTTATTTATGAATTCCATAATTTCTATTTAACTGTTTGGTTGGGGTTTATTATTCTAAACAACTCGCTCTAATAAATACCTTAGCATGAATTGCAGTATGTGGTTGTAATGACCTCTGTGGGAGATAATACCTGATAATGTTGGGGAAAGATGTTGGTGTGAAGATAACCAATTTGTATTGGAATTCACACTCAGAGCAAGCTTAAAAACAGCCCCTCAGAAGATCCCTATGCTCTGAGAAAGCATGAGATGGGGGTCTACTTTTTAGGAATATGCACTTTTTGAGTGGGTTAAAAAATATATAGTAGCAGTAAGAAAATGAAAACCAAAGGATAAGAATAACTGACTTTCCTTCTTTTAAGCCAGTGTGGTTGACAAACTATGTCCCAAATCTGACCTGTTTCTGTATAGCCTGTGAACTAAGAATACTTTTTGCATTTTTTAAATGTTGGTAAAAGATCAAAGGAAGAATAATATGTTATGATACGTGAAAATTATATGAAATTTGAATTGCAGTGAATAAAGTTTTATTAGAACACAAATAACCTCTTCCTTTTGTTTACATATTGTCTACTCTCATGTACCAACAGACCATGTGGCTAACAAAAGCCTAAAAATATATACTATCTGCCTCTTTACAGAAAAAGAAGGGAACATTGTATGTCATTTCCAAAGCAGGTAGGGAACTATTTGATCCTTTAATTCTTATTGGGGCTCTCTGCTACCTTTACCACATACTATTTCCTAGGCAACATATGTGTCTTCCCCAATGCTGTGACTGGCTGTGGCATCAATCCTGACTTAGCCCTATGGCAGCCAGGGGTTTCCACAACCCTACTCTAACAGTGGTGGTTGATAGGCTAGGTCAACATGCTCAGTGTGTTAGATTTTTTTTCAATTCTGTGTCCTAAAACGAGTGGAATGAGTAAACAGCTATAATTTTTTTTTTTCCTATTCCTGAAATTGGATAGGAGATCATATCTTATCTACTAACTTCATCACTGATTTAGATCCTTGATACCCAAAGCATGGTCCACAGCCAAGGAAACTCATCATCATCTGGGAGCTTATTAGAAATGCAGAATCTCAAGTCCCACTCCACGATCCTCAGGCACATTGAAGTGTGAGGAGCACAGGTTTAGACAAAAACAAAAGATTTCCTAGAAATGGGAAGCTATTTTGAGGAAAAAAGATAAGGTATGACTGAACTTAGCCACAACAATAAAAATGTAATTGACTATTATGTGTCAGGTGCTATTCTAGGAACAGGAACATAAAGACGAAAGCATTTCTTATGAAAATGGTTAAACATACACAAAAATCTAAAGATTAACCTAAAGAACCTGATCAACCTTTCATGGAAGGGTTTTAGCATCCTTTGATTCATTGCCTGGATACATTATCTTATTAAGGCTTAAAGATGATGATTTTTACATTTTTATTATTGCTTTAGCTCTGATTAGCTGGAATTCTTCTATAAAGAATTTTCCCTTATCATCCAATTATTACTCTGAAGTACAGCTTTTATGAGGAAAGCAGGATTAGTGCTTGATACTTCCCCTTTCATCACCAGTTTTCAGAAGAGCTGCTTCCAAATGTTTATAGTTTTAGTTTTTATTAAGCATCTTTATGAATTTATGAAATTGTATAGATTTATAACACATAGGTTGTATGTGATTTAATCCACTGTAGTCAAATTTAAATTGTCCCATCTTTAGTGAGTGGGAACCTCTTTGTTTAATTATCTTTTTATACTGTCCCAGCATTCTGATAGCGTCCTTTCTTTCTGGCATGACAACATACTTAAGGAATATTTTGTATGTGTCCTGTACTAGACCTGGGCAAGGAAGTCTAGCTACTTTTATTGGGAAATGGGAAATAGTGTTTAGAGACCACAGTCTAGGTAATAGTGATTAGTAAAGCCCGTTGCCAGTAGGCATTTCTTTTAGGCCTTTTCAGTGGACAGACTAGGAGAGACATATTTTTATAGAAAGAGGAAAATATAATATGAATTCATACTGACATTTTCTTCCATGGAAATTATAGAATTTTTGCTTAACATCTTGAAAAATATATAAATTATAAAAATGTTTGGAGGGAAAAATATGTATTTTTTTTACCCTGAGAATCTAAGATCCTAATAATATTAACAAAATTACTTATTTGCTTTAACATGCAATATATGTATGTCTAATATTTTCAAAATAACAATACCAATATTGTTTTACACTAAAACAACTGGATTCGATTTAGGATTTCTTTGTAGTTCTTTTTGTCCTTGAGATATACTTTCAAGTTCTGTTTTTTGAAGTCACTTGAAATAATTCTCTGTGTGGGTATGAAACCTGATATAGAGGTAGGTGCATTTGTTCCCCCTTTATATCAGAGATTTCTACTGAAAGGGGGAATCCATAAAAGTACAAGAAGAAAACTGATATCACTATTTTTTATAATCATAGAATGGTGCAAGACTTACTAAGTACAACATAAAACTTACTTAAATTTTAAAACATGACACAAAATACTATATACATAGTCAAATGACATGTTTGGAGAAAATATTTATTGTCCAAAACACAGACAGCCCGGCCAGGTGTGGCTCAGTGGTTGAGCATCGGCCTAGGATCCAGGAGATCAGAGGTCGATTCCCTGTCAGGGCACATGCCCAGGTTGTGGGCTCTATCCGAAGTCAGGGGCATGCAGGAGGCAGCTCATCAATGACTCTCTCATCATTGATGTTTCCATCTTTCTCTCCCTCTTCCTTCCCCTCTCTGAAATCAATAAAGATATATTTTTAAAAAATAAATACAAACAAAGGACTAATTTTACTACTATGTAAAGAGATTTTACAAATCAATAAAAAAGGATAAAAACCCCAGTAGAAAGTGGGCAAAGAATAGAAATGGTTCACAGAAGAAATAGAAAAGGCCAAAAATAATGTGTAAAGATGCTACATCTCCATATAAATAAACATTTAAACTGGTCCACCTTTTCTTTCTTAGATTTTATGAATTCCATAAAATAGACTGACAAAGATGAAAAGGATTGGTAATCACTGTTGTTGAGGATACAAGCAAATAAGCATCTCATAAGCTCAAATACAGTATCCGTTTACTTATTTCCCTACTATTGAACTATAAACTCTTCAGGGGAATGACTACATTTATTCATGCTTAATTCCCAGTACTAGCACAGTATGTAGCACAGATCCTGTGCTTAATAAATGTTTCAGTGATTGATCGCATCAACAAATATCGACTAACTTCTATGTACCAGGGAGATTATTAACCTACGGACGAAAGAAATGACCTTGTTTTATTAAGTTCTTAGTAGGCAGTATTTTATAGTTTAAAACTATAGAAAATTTTAGAATAATAACCTGTATGTATAAAAGGAATAATAGAACTTTGCAACCACACATAGCAATAATGGAATCATCTGTAGTTACATAATGCTAAAATCATTGCATGAAGTTTGTTGGGAAACAGGTTATTTATAAAATATCAAAGTATCTCCCCCAGATTAATTATTAATTACAAAGGGGGAAAAGTACTTTTGTACTTTTCAATGAAGAAATCTGGAAGTCACAACTTTAAGTGATCAAAGTTAACAACACCAGTAATAGAACACACTGATGTTAGTTGAGTATCTCACCTGGTGGGGGTCACTGAGAAGGATTCAACATCGCTAATGTAGTATTCCTGCCAAAGATGCATAACTTGAATTGAATCATAAGAAAATTATTAGATGGCATGAAAGACTGCCGCCCACTACCCCCCTCCCCCCAAAAAAGCTAATAACTGTTTCAGATTAAAAGACACTAAAAGAGACGTGGCAACTAAATCCCATTCACGATTCCTGCTTAGGCATGGGGGATGGGGAGAGATGCTCTCGGGAACAATATTGAGATCAGAGAAATGTGAATATGGACAATAAAAACAGCATCATATTAGGGTTAAGATCTCAGAATTATATTATACCATAGTGTGTGAGAACATCCTTGTTAGCAGATACATGATTAAGAATTTAGTAGCGAAGGGTCATGATATCTTCAACTTACTCTCAAATTATTCAGCAGAGGTTTAAGTTATATGTTAATACCAGTTGCTAATATTGCCATATAGTTTTTCAATTAAACTGTTTAGTCTGAACAAAAATGCATGCATTTATGTGTTACTGATGTTAATAATTGTTATGTTTATTATGTAACAATTATCTTAATGATTAACAAGTATTATTATAGTCATTTTTATGTGGAGAGGAAGAAAGTCAGTTTGGCAAAATGCTAACAATGGGTTAATCTACATGAAGAATATATGGTAAATCATTCTACTATTATACCTTTCTGTTGAGTTTGAATTTTTGTTCAGACTAAACAGTTTAAGTTATATCTTAAAAACTATATGGCAACATGATCATACCTGGTATTAATGCAGACTGAGGAGTACCAAGAAAATGTATTTCATTCAGAACCATGCTCAAAATATGTAACTGTGATGCTCAAATGATATAAATTTTAATGTTATTATATTGGTTTTATTTTGCAACATTTATGTTCCTTTTTGATAGCTAATGGAATATCTTATTGGTGGAGATGTCAAGTCTCTCCTACATATATATGGTTATTTTGATGAACAGATGGCTGTGAAATATATTTCTGAAGTGGCATTGGCTTTAGATTACCTTCACAGACATGGAATCATTCACAGGTATAAACTGACTTTTCTCTGGACTATTACTTAAAAACACAAATAATCCCATTATGTTGTAAATATTTGCATAACCACTTGCCCACATATCCAGGTTATTTTAAGTCTGTTACTGACATATACAAATTAATAGATTCCATCAACTCTTCCTTCGTCTCCTTGTGTTTTTATAATACATTGCTTTGAGCATAAGTATACCATTTTATCATAACGAATATTGAATCATTTTCCCATTCCTTTACCATCATACAAAAGTACTATATTTTATAATCCCAGTTGATTTACAATGTTTTGCTCTGTGCAAAGAAAGTCAGGTTTAGTGGCTCTGCTCTATGAAAGCTTGATCTTAACATTCTTGAAAGAGATAAGTAGGATTTTGACCTGGCCTAAGCTTTATTTTTTCCAATGAGGCTGATTTCTTTTAATGGACTATCTAATGAATAATGCAAAAGATAACCATTAAATCCATTAACTTTGTTGTAGATTCATATATACAAAAGGTGATTTGCTTTTTAGACTTTTCTACAGTTTCAAAGCCACCAATGAGTGCCTTATTTTAAAGAAAATAGAGTGTGAGACTTCTGTAACTCCCCTCCCCCAGAAAATTCTAACATTAGTACTAGCTCTTTTAGTCATCCGTGTGTTTTTTCTGTTCGTGCAGGGATTTGAAACCAGACAATATGCTTATTTCTAATGAAGGTCATATTAAACTAACAGATTTTGGCCTTTCCAAAGTTACTTTGAATAGAGGTAAGAAAAATAACAGGTAAGTACCTTTTTAAAAATCCAACAAATTTTAGCCCTGGCCAGGTAGCTCAGCTGGTTGGAGTGTCATCCCATACACCAAAATGTTGCAGGTTCGATTCCAGGTCAGGGCACTTACCTAGGTTTCAGGTTAGATCCCCATTTGGGGCACCTATAGGAGGCAACCTATTGATGTTTCTCTCTCTCCTCTCCTCTCTCTCTAAAATCAATAAAAAAATATCTCAGGTGAGGATTAAAATAAAATTCCAACAAATTTTAGACAGAACATTTCATTAACTTACACTGTTTTCTGATGATTATTTGTTCTAAAATAGACTAAAAAGGTGTGATGTTACCTTTCTTTCAATTAAAGATGAAAAATGGAAATAATTATTTTTAAATCCTCAAAGGTCCTTGAAGATCTTTGGATCTTCAAAGAGAAACTCACAGTTTCTATTCTTTTGACTTTTTTATCCCTACTGAAACTGGTTCTGATCAATTAACTTCAGTAAAATGGCTAAAATAACTATAACATGATGAACAGTTAATACCTAAAGAACTTATTCATATATATTTACCACAAATAAGACTTTGGTAAACAAGGGTCAAAGAAAGTGAACACATAATTCATACACACATATTAACAATAATAAATGAATCATTTTACACTATTAAGCTAGCAAAAAAAAAGAACTTACTGCTTCATCAATATGGGGTATAAATAAAATGTGTTAAGTTCAAATTTTCAGTTTTTAAGAGTTATATCCCTGTCTGGCTGGTGTGGCTCATGGTTGAGCATGGGCCTATGATCCAGGAAATTGCAGTTCAATTCCCAGTAAGAGCACATGCCCCGGTTTTCAGGCTCGATCCCCAGCAGGGGGTGTGCAGGAGACAGCTGATCAATGACTCATTGATGTTTCTATCTCCCCCTCTCCCTCTCTCTGAAATCAATAAAAATATATTTAATTTTTTACAAAAGTTTTGTATCCCTTGCAAAGTTATATCCTATACTTCCCTTACCGTTTTTTGTTGTTGTCACCTGAGGATTTTTTTTTTTATTTGTTTATTTTTTATTTTTTTTTTTTAAATATATCTTTATTGATTTCAGAGAGAGGAAAGGAGAGGGAGAGAGAGAGACAGAAACATCAATGATGAGAGAGTCATTGATCAAGCCCACAACCGGGCATGTGCCCTGACCAGGAATCGAACCCTGATCGCCTGGATCCCAGGTCAATGCTCAACGGCTGAGCCACGCCTGGCCGAGCCTGAGGATATTTTTTTCATTGATTTTTAGAGAGAGTGGAAGGAGGGGAGAGAGATACATGGATTGATTGCCTCCCGCATGAGGGAGAAAATAGTATGATATTATGTGTGGATGTTAAATTATTTTATTTTACAGTGTTATCCACCTGAAACCTGTAAAAATCTATGTCAGTTTCTATCTTGACCTACACTTGCACATTTTAGTTAACATAAAGAACCCATAATTTGTATTACTTCCTTAAATAGATTATTTAACTTATATTCCTACTATCTTTTGATTTCTTTCTTAGTTTTTCTTACCATCTCCTTTTCTAATATTTGATTTACCAAGAATTATTTTGCTGCCAGTTAGATGACATTCTTTTTTAGTGACTGAGTACTCCCTGAAACCCTAAGACTTTGGGTCATTACACTGGTTTTTATTCATTCCAGAGCAAGAGACTATTTTATCAGTCTTTAATGATCTCAATCAGTTGCTTAGTTTTTTATGTTTGCTCTATGGTGCCTGGCTTTCCTGGGTATATTTGTCTTACACAAGCCAATTTGTAAGTAATTTAATGTGGAAAGAGGGCAAAGTTCAGAACAGATGATTATAGACTAAGTCAATGACAGTTAAAGTTTTTTGTTTGTTTTTAAATATATCTTTAGTGATTTCAGAGAGAGGAAGGGAGAGAGATAGAAACATCAATGGTGAGAATCATTGATTGGCTGCCTCTTGCACACCCCCAACTGGGAAGGAGCCCACAACCCAGGGATGTGCCCTGACTGGGAATCAGACTGAGATCTCCTGGATCTTAGGTTGATGCTCAACCACTGAGCCGTGCTGGCCAGGCGAGAGTTAAAGTTTTTAAAGAATTTCATATACTTTTCTTTCCATATATAGATATCAATATGATGGATATCCTTATAACACCATCAATGGCTAAACCTAGGCAAGATTATTCAAGAACCCCAGGACAAGTATTATCTCTCATCAGCTCTTTGGGATTTGTAAGTACTTGATAAGAAAAGAAAAAAAATCACATAACATTGCCTTTCATGATTACCATTTAAAATATTAAATGTTTTTCTTTTTAAATAAATGATCAAAGTGAATGTAAATATCAAGCATGTGAGGTCACTTTAACAGTTAATCTACTGAGGTGGTATAACTATCTATGCACTTAGGTGGTGTTTTTGTGAAGGTAAATGTTAGCGTTTGTATTTGTCTTTCTCTTTTTAATAGCACGCACCAGTTGAAGAAAAAAGTCAAGACTCTGCAAATATTCTTTCAGTCCATGTGTCTGAAACATCACAGCTTTCTCAAGGACTAATTTGTCCTATGTCTATAGATCAAAGGGACAGTACTCCTTATTCTAGCAAACTACTAAAATCATGTGAGTATAAAAGAAAAGATAGTTTATTACTAATATCAGTTTAACAATTTAAAAATGCAATTTGAACACTCTGTGGCATTACTGTATTTCATTATGTAGACACCATTTCTGACAGGGATTGTTCTAGATTTCTAAGTCAACAGAACAAAAATTCTAGCTAATGAGATATTCTTCAATTATCTATAACATTAGAATGACCATTGCGTAGATTTCACTATGTTGGATCTATGGAAATCTTACATAGAGAAGATGTAGTACCTGTAATATCATTATGTCTTTGTAAAATTATTTCTGAAAGATTTTTGAAATAAAATAGTCAAAGAAAAGTTATAATTTTTTTAAGTAGCACACAATAAAAAACAAAGTCAAGTACAGTAAGAGGCGAGTACATTTGACATGTGAATGGCACTTAACGTCACCCTTTTTAATTTGGCAACAATGGACTATTTAGTTCTCTGCAGTCATGTTCTTCATCGTGGGAATGTGAATAATTAATTAGTATTAGTTGTTTTCATGGATGTTGCCTCATTTTGAATTTGGTCAACAAATCTGTACATATCTAGAACATATATAACGTTGTCTTCTTTTTGCAAATGAGAAAGCTAATATTTGAAAATGCTTAGTTACACACTAGTAAATGGGTAAGCTGAGTCCTGATTGCAAGTACAATTTTCTGTTTGCTTACCTTTCCTCCAAATTAAGAAATCTTGTTTCTTCTATCAAAACCCACTGTAATAATGAAAATGGCTGACATATATATAGCTTAGATAAACAAAGATTGCTAAAATACGTAATATGCCTATGTTGTTTTATAGCCTTAGCTTAAGAAAAAATAACTGCAACTCCCTTAGTCGTTCTTTAATCTAGTCAGAATTAGATAGGTTCAGGGCTCTGTAGTGTGGATATAAAGATGGATAAGAAACATCCTTGCCTCAGAAGAAATTTTAATTTTGTGGTGATTACAGGTATAAAAGGGTAACAACAGTCCTATAAAATAAATACCAACCAAGCTAGACCCAGAAAAGGAAACATGAACTTAATAGCTCCAAGTATAGTGGTGGGAAAGGGCATTTCAGATAGAGGCACCAGCCTGAGCAAAGGCATGGACATACGGAAGTGTATTCTGCCTTCACACCTAGGGACTTAACGTGTTATGTAAGAATGGGAAGTATGTGCAATGGAAAAGAAATCTTAGCAGATGGATTGGGAAGGATCAAGTGTCCTTATAGGGAACCTAGAATTTAAGTGTAGAAAAGGGGAGCCATCAAAAGTTCCAAAGTAGGGAATGGTCTGATCTTATCAGTGATCCAGAAAGAACTCATTAGCAGATACACAGTATGCACATGGCTTTGGATTAGGCACAAATTCCACATTACAGGGAAAGGCAGCTGAACAGTGTGGTCAAATATCAAGGTCAGTGTCAATTGAGTTTCAGGAATTCCACTGACGTGATTTATGTACCAAAAAGAAAGTTGTCTCAGATGGACTTTGAAATTCTTCCAGATTTAAAGTTCTAGTAAGATTTAGTAAATCAAAAAGCTGTAAGATTAAAAATTTATTTGAGATTAAAGTAGTGTTCACCCATTTTGGAAGAAGGAAAACAAGATAAAGGTATCTATTTATATAGGCATAAAATCTTCATATTTTATGTATTATGGTCTTTGGTAAAAGCATGATTGTCTGTTGTGTCTAATTAAAAGTTCAGGAGCGATAATTTTTGGCATCATTATTTATGTATACGATGAAGGAATATATATCGTGTTGATAGTGCTGCTTTCTTCCACTAGCTCACTCTTAGCCAATTTACCATTACTTGTTTTACTCAGTGGTTTTTAAAGAAATCCCTTATGGCCCGAGCCAGTTTGGCTCAGTGGTTAGAGTGTTGGCCTGGGGACTGAAGGGTCCTGGGCTCGATTCTGGCCAAGGGCACATACCTGGGTTGCAGGCTCAATCCCCCACCCCGACCAGGGCCATGTGCCTGAGGCAACCAATCAATGTGTCTCTCTCACATCCATGTTTCTCTCTCTCTCTCTCTCCCCTTCCTCCCTCCTTCCCCCCTTTCCACTCTGAAAAACAATGGGAAAAAATACCCTCAGGTGAAGATTAAAAAAATAAAATAAAATAAAGGAAAAAAAGTTTCAAATTGGGTAATGAATATTGAAGTGGATTTGCTCCTAATTATAAATTAGTTCTGTTCTCCTGATTTTTACTTTACAAATGTTGAGAGTATTTCTTTAACTCTCAGGACAACATTTATATGCCAAAAACACCAAAAGCCATCCTTGTAGATTGGATAATGTTTAATAGAAATAGCTCTGATGTGCTCTGGCCAGTGTGGCTCATTGGTTAGAGTGTCGTCCTGCACACTGAAGGGTCACTGGTTCAATTCCCGGTCAAGGGCACCTACCTGGGTTGTAGGTTCAATCCTCTGCCCCTGTGTTTCTTTCCCTCCCTCCCTTTGTCTTCCTCTCCCTTTTTCCCCCCTCTCTCTCCCTTTCTCTCCCTCTCCCTCTCTCCCTTTCCTTCCCCTTTCCCCCTTCCTCTCTCTCCAAATTTGAATGGAAAAAATATCCTTTGGTGAGAATTAACAAAAAAAGAAAAAGAAATAGCTCTGATGTGCAATACTTAATACTTTGCTTAATTATCTGTAAAGATTCAGGTTCGGTGAAGAACTAAGAAAGATGTAACATAAGCTTCAATATTTTCTCTTCCCTACAGGTCTTGAAACAGTTGCCTCCAACCCAGGAATGCCTGTAAAGTGTCTAACTTCTAATCTACTCCAGTCTAGGAAAAGGCTGGCTACATCCAGTGCCAGTAGTCAGTCCTACACTTTTGTATCCAGTATGGAATCTGAATGCCACAGCAGTCCCACATGGGAAAAGGATTGCCAGGTTAGACTGAAATTTATCTTAACCATAACCAGTTATGTATGTGAAATTGACAGAAATACGTTTTACCTTTTCACTTAAATTCTGTATGGAAATGAAACTGTTACATGAATGACAGTCCAGATAGTCTTCATTTTCCTGTATATCCTGTAAAATTCTTTAAAAATATTGTATTTCTCATTCAAATGTGAAATTATTCTCACTTTATGTAACTTTCTAAATTTTTTCTCTAAATTGGTAGTAAATGTTTGGCTTCTATGCATCTAAATAGACTTTTTTTAAAAATTTCCTACTGTTGATTTTTTTTAACCTATATCTTATTTTTAAACACACTGCCTCCTTCTGTACTGTTTTCTGCCAGTTTCTCATTTAATGGAATGACAACTCTTCTGGATCAGAAATAACTGTTACACCACAAAGATAATATAAGTGTACCTTTAAAAGTATCTATTCTAAGAAAATTGCTTGCTAAATGAATGAATTTACTTAATTTATATATCCTCTTTTTGCTCTTTTTAAAAGCTGTTAAATCTGAGAGGAATTAAAAATTTAAATTATAATAAAGCTGCCCTCATAAAATTTCAATAAAATGTTAGATTAGCCCTAGCCAGTGTAGCTCAAAAAGGTAGCAGATTTGGTTCCCGGTCAGGGCACATACCCAGGTTCCAGGTTTGATCCCCAGTTCAGGTGCAACCGATCAATGTTTCTCTCTCTCCTCCTCTCTCTCCCTTCCTTTCCTTCCCTCTCCTTCCCTCTCCCTCCCTTTCCCTACCTCTCCCTACCTCTCTTCCTCAAATCAATGGAAACATATCCTCAAGTGAGGATTAAAAATAATAATAACAGTATTAGATTAGAATAATTTTAGTGCACAAAAATAAACCTTTCGTTGGATTGTATTTGCTCCTATTCTCAGTCATATGATTTTCTTTATTATTGTTGGATATTTGCATTTTAGGAGTAAAGTCAAATTATTTTTTAGTTAAGGCGGGATTTCTTTTTTTTTTCCCCTTCTCTCCTTATAGGCTGATCTATAGGTAATATGTATATGTTACAGAAAACCAGATTTGCATTCCTTGTACTATTATTTCACTTTTGTCCTATTCAAGAAAGAAATATACTATTTCAACTGTACACAGTTTTGCCTTCTTCCTCCTACTTCTGCATCCCTGAGGAATGCAGTGATTAGATTATAGTGATGCTTCTTAAGTTATGATCAGCAGAATGACAGGGGACCCCTGATAAACCCTGTACTAATTCCCAAGTGCATCATTTTCTGTGCTCTCTGATCAATGAAGTGTAATTTGGGAGTTTTGTTTGGGTCATGACTAAGTGCTCTGTGTTATTACTAAGTAAATATTTCATTTTCACATGTCAAAAATAGGCACTATTAAAGTTATTAAAGATTACCTCTAATTGAGTAATCTTGTAAAAATCCTGATTACCATGCACCAATTGGCAATATTAGGTACAGAGCTCATATCATCCAAGAGAACCTGCAGATGGTTTAGAATTCAGTTTTCAAGAAAAGCAGTTTGTTATCAATGTATCATTAATTCAACTTATTAACAATGGATTTAACTCATGTTATTTTTGGCTTTTCATTATAAATTACCACTAATGTAGCCTCATCCTTATCAGCTTGGTTTTATTATTCTTGTTTGAAGTGATACATGTTTGCATTAATAAAATTTTTGATCTATAATTTTCTATTAACTATATTCATATCAAGCCCTGTACATTTTGCAGTTCAAAACAGAATCATCCATACTATTGCAAAGCAGGTAGGTGCATAATGTAGCCTTAGCCCCAAAATTTGTCTAAATATGTTGCCTGTTAATTTGTTCTATTTGATCGCATCCTGGCTTTTTGGCTAAGATCAAGTGTAATTTGTTCTATTTGAATAACATATAATATACTATCAAATAAGTATTATAGAATAATTGATTTACATTTTAGACCAGTATTTCTCTCAATATAATGTGTATAAATGTATACTGTAATTGTTTATGTTGCTTTTTCATTCTCTGTTATCATCGTTCTTTTGTCCCATTGGAAAATGGGAATAGATAGCATAATAGTTTATGGGATCATTTATTCCACCTAAGTGGACAATGGTTTAGCAGCTTAAAGAATCTCAGCTTTATACAACTAAAGAAAGCTCCTCCCTCTCCCCTTAGGAAAGTGACGATGCACTGGGCTCTGCAATGATACGTTGGGACACAGTTGAAAAGCCTTTATGTACAAAAGCTACAAATGCCATCGAGACCAAAAGTTTCAGTAAGAAGGATCTTGAGTTAGCCCTTTCTCCCATTCAGAACAGTGGTGCCATTCCTGCCAGTGGAAGCTCTTGTGCAAACCATGCTAAAAAATGCTTTTCTGGGCAGGTTTCTTGGGAAGCAAGAGAACTGGATATAAATAATGTGAATACTGCTGCTGACACAACACAGCCTGGTTTTCATCAGTCAAATCAGGGGGCTATGGATTCTGCTCGTTTGGTTGAAGAGCACCTTGGGAAAAGAAGTATTAAGAGACATTTTGAATTAGTTGACTCCAGTCCTTGTCAGAAAACTATACAAAATAAAAAAAGTTGTATAGAGTATAAGCACAGTAATGAAATGAGAGATTGTTATACAAATCAAAGTACAGGCTTAACGACTGAAGTTCAGAACCTTAAGTTATTGGTATTTAGAAGTCAGCAAAATGACTGTGCTAGTAAGGAGAATATGGTTGACTCTTTTATGGATAAACAACAAACACCAGAAAAAACAAACGTCCCAATGATAGCAAAAAACCTTATGTGTGAACTGGATGAAGATTGTGACAAGAATAACAAGGACAACTTAAGTTCTAGTTTTCTATGTTCTGATGATGATAGAGCTTCTAAAAGTATTTATATGGACTCTGATTCATCTTTTCCTGGAATTTCTCTAATGGAAAGTCCATTAGAAAAGCGGTCATTAGATCCAAACAAAAGCATCAAAGAATCTTCTTTCGAAGAATCAAATATTGAAGACCTACTTAGTGTATCACTCTGCTGCCATGAAGGTGGCTTACCAAAAGGTGATGGGAATCCTGCTCTCCAAGAAAGTAACCAAAAAATGTTAGCTCCTTCTTCGGAGGCGTTGAAAACATTAACCTTCTCTAAAAGAAATGCTGTAGCTTTTCGAAGTTTTAACAGCCATATTAATGTATCCAGTAATTCAGAACCATCCAAAATGAGCATTAATTTAGATCCAATGGATATTTCGTGTGCTTATAGTGGTTCATATCCCATGGCCATAACCCCTACTCAAAAAGAAAGACCCTCCTTGCCATATCAGGTATGTTATAACTTTCTAACACTTTGTTCTTTGGATGGTAGAAAAGTAAACTATGAAGGCCAGACTCTTGCCTCTCAGCTAAACTATATGATATTAAGGCTATAGTTTTGTTTTACTTGTTGGAAATCTATGGATTGTTGGAAGTTTTAATGCAGTTTAAAGGTAAAGCTAGTAGTTGTACTGTTCTATATACTTTCACATATTTAAGTCCACTCTACTGTCTTCTAAGAACATATTTAGATGATCTCTTTTTTATAGAAAAAAAAAAGTTGAAAATATATATTTCGTATCTTATTTTGTTCTTATTTTCTAACCCTTTATCTTTTTTCCCCCTTGGAGAGACATCATAATAAAAAAGTGGAAACTTGAATTTAGAGTTACAACTTGGGTTTCCTATTCAGAACTTACTAAGAGACTTAGAAGTCCCTTACCCTCAGAGCCTCTGTTTTCTTCCATCTGTCTGTAGAATATAATGATCTCTATCCTGCTGGTCTCACAGAGTCCTTGAGACAACAAAATATCTTAAACACTCAAACTCCAGTTAGCACAAGAGGTTATTTATATTTAGTTCTACCTTATGTATTATTCTAATATCTCAGTCATTTGTCAACCTCAGGCTCCCTCGGTGACTTCTTAAGCTTATGTTAATCTTTGCTATCAGGAGCTTTTTCTTGTCGACTTTTTCACTGTTTCTTGCATATCCAGATATTATTGAAATAGTTGGTGTTGCCTAAGCTATTGAATATCATTAGATATGAGGACTTAATGTAATTATAATTAGTTATGAGTCCTTTTTCAAAATTAAGGCTGTGCGTATGTCCTTTATGCCCAGCTTTTTTGTTTTGACATTTCTTTTCACTGTAAAAGGAATTAAGATATTTATTGTCTTTTAAAAACTCTTTTTAAATTGGCAGACCCCAAATCAGGTCAAGTCAGAAACTCCATATCGAACTCCAAAGAGTGTGAGAAGAGGTGCAGCCCCAGTGGATGACGGGCGAATCCTGGGCACTCCAGACTACCTTGCACCTGAGCTGTTATTAGGCAGGGCCCATGGTAAGGCATACATGTCGTAATTTTTTGAAGTGTTACCTATCACTACACTTTCTTTTGAGGTAAAATTGTTTTAAATTTCTTTGGTACTTGGATTACCTAAAGTAAAAGAAAATTAACTCATGCAATACTCTTTCCTCCTATATATGGCATTTATTACAGAAAAAGAAGACATGCAGCCATTTGTTCTTTGCTTCTGATATAGTCTCAGTGATCTAGAGAAGCCCCACCTTTCATCCCTGGTTATTTTTGCTCTAAGCATCTCCTCAAATCTGTTGTTTGGGCTCAAAAATACAAAGCTGACCCTAAACTTCTGTTCAATCTGCAGAAGCATTCCTGTTTAGAGCTTACTCACTTAAACCCTCACCAGAAGGGTCAAGCCAGAAACCAGCTATCCTTCCAAATGCAACATAGGAATAAAAGGATGACATTTTCCCTTACCCTTTTTTCCCTTCCTGCATTGTGAAATTGAACTGTATTTGTTTCCTAGGACTACTATAACAAAGTACCACAAACTGGGTGGTTCAAAACAACAGAAATTTATGGCCTAACAGTTCTGGAGGCTCAAGTCTAAAATCAAGGTTGACAAGACCATGCTTGGGTTATAAATGCATCACTCTAATCTTCCCTCTTCATGTGGTCTTTTCCCGTATGGTCACATGGCTGTGTTCTTATAAGGATCCCAGTCATATTAAATTGGGAACCCACCCTGCTCTGGTGTAACTTCATCTTAACCCAATTATATCTGCAAGGACCCTATTTCCAAATGTCAGAGAACCTCAGAGTTAGGACTTGAACTTACCTTTTTTCAGGGGGGCATAATTCAACCCACAACACACCCCTTCTTCTGCATCTTGATAGTAATCACTTCCCTTCCCTTTGGGCTCTTTTGGTGGTCATCTCTCATCTTCCCCACCCCACCTGCCATATTTTTATTTCTTTGCTGGATTTTTTCCCTAGTCTGAAAATTAGTCTCCACCCTTATCTTCCTCTCATTACCGAACTTCTCAAAAGTTGCCTCTTTTCTTTGCCTGACCATTTTTGCTTTGGCAATCTGATTATCCCAATTATTTAACTGAAACTTTTACTAGCAATCACCTATGATGTCATTATTTACAAATCTGCCAGCCTCTTCTCAGTTTCACTTCTCTTACCTCTATTGCTACTCTTCAGTTTTTTTCTTATCTCTTGTAAATATGAACGTTCTTCAAATCTGCCCTTTACTCTTTTCGAGGCACATGCTCTGTTAATCTCATCACTCCCGTGACTTTGATTGGATCCATGTTGATGTTTCCCAAATATTGATCTCTAATCCTGACTTTCACTAGGCAGCACATGGCCTGGTATCTATTTAATGTTCTATCCATCTTTCAAATGCTGCCTGTCAAATTGGACTTGTTGATCCCCAGCGGGGGGCTTGCAGGAGGCAGCCAATCAATGATTCTCTCATCGTTGATGTTTGTCTCCCTCTCTCCCTCCCTCCCTCTCCTTTCCTCTCTCTAAAATCAATAAAAATATATGTTCAAAACAAAACTGGACTTGTCATCCAGCTTTCTGTTCCTCTGCTCCCTATCTCAGTTTCCTCATCTTTGTGGTGACACAGACATTGTCCCTACATTCAGGCATTTAAATCTGGTTGATTATATCTCTGCAGTATTTCTCCTCACCTTTTCATCTCTGCCACTATCTCTGCATCTTTTCCTTTCTTTCATTTAATAGCTTTCTTTCTGATCTCCTCAACTTCATTCTATTGAATAATCATTTCTACCAGATTTTACCTCTTTTCCCCCCTCATATTTATTATTTTTCTTTCTGATTGTAAATTTAATATATTTTATTGGAAAACCATAGAAAATGCATAGATAGCTGAGCTGTTTTATATGTTACAATCTAGATTTTGATTCCATTTAAATTATTCTATTCCCATGACTACACGCTTGCCCCACTTTTAAAGACCCGGAGTCCAAGGTAGGAGAGACCACGAGCATCCCAGAGGACAGCAGCACAAAATCCAGATTTCCCTCTTAAAACATAACATGATTCATGCTATTTCCTTCCTTGAAAAACTGTGCTGGCTCTTCAAAAGCCAGATTACTGATCATGGCATATGAGGCTCTAAGCTGTCATAGTAGCCACCTCTCTCAAAGAGATTCTCTTTATAGTCCTTATGTTCCCATCCCACTTCTTAGACACAGTTATTTTCTAATTTTCCTTATTTTGCACAAGTATTTTGCCTTAGTTTAGAAAATCCAGTCCCCAGTCATCTTCCTGTCCAATTTCTTCTCATCAATGATCAGTTCAAATGTCACCTCTTCTGTAAAGTATCCCTTGATCAATTACAGAGATTTACTTATTCATGCTATATCACTGAATTAGAAACTGTTTAAAACTTATGTCATTCTACCTATGTTATAATTAGTTATTATATTTTTCTTCACTACAAAAGCTTAAGAAAGTTTCCTAAGACTAGTGTCTGAGGTTTCCCTCCAGGTGGCACTTCAGGAGAATTCCTGGGCAGCACTCAGTAGCCATTGAGAAAATCTCTTCATTGTTGAAAGTGGACACATTTACTATTCCCCTTTATTAGCCAAAGCAACTGAGTTCTTCTGGGCACTTAACTGTATAGCGCCCTTTTGCTAAGTCATTTCCTATATTACAGTTTGCATGTTCTCTAACTTATGATACAGTACGAGAGTAAGCTTCAAATGTAAAGGTTTGTTTTATCAGATCTTGCCACTATTTTAGTGGGGCATCTAGTTACCTCAGCTATCTAGTGATATATTTTTAAATTTTTATTTTCTATAAAAGTAATTTGATACATCATTTTTAAAATAACAAATAGTACAAAGCAATTTATAATCAAAGGGGAAAAAAGAACCCTAGCTCTCTACCTCTTCCCCCAGATCCCAGGCCCCAGGGCCAGTCACTTCGTTTCTTTGCTGCTTCTTGTATGTGTACCTCTCTATTTCCCACCATGCTGAGGTACAGCTGTGACTCCTCTGACACCTCCCATGGTCTTCCCTTCACCAAGCAGATATAGGAACTCTGGCCAGTCTCGCACAGCTACTTGTGCATATTTTTCTTTCAGCTCTCTTAACATTGTGTTAAAATTATCTCCCAAAGTAGGCTATCTTTTCCTGAGGAAAAGCTCTTTGTTCTTGTATCTGGCACAATCCCTGGTATCTAGTTCAGTGCATGAGAGAATGAACCCAGAATTTTAATACCATGTGCCTAACTACTGTTTTCTTACCTGCAGGATTTCTGACTTTGGGTGAGTGAGCTTCTCTTTAATATGGCAAAGCACATTAAACCAAAAAGTCAAAGTATAACTAGATCGCATTGCAGAAAAAAATTATTTTCACTTCAGCTCACTTATGAAATATAAAAATGAAGTGTCTTCTGTCTTCTGAGCAGGAAGATGTCCAGAGAGGTTTCTCTTCTCTGTGAAAACAAATGGCATGCAGCATTTTTTATAACTTTTAATGGTAGCAGAGTGAAGGTGCCACTTTTTTATTGTAATAGAGGAAATAGGCTTGATAAAAATATTAAAATTAGCAGCTACAAAATGGCTGGAATTTTCTAAACAATTTAATTCCATTATTATGAGAAAACAAAAAGGTATAAACAGTATCAATATACAAATTACAGAAGTGGGTTATGAATTAGAAAGTCAGTAGTAGAAAATAAGTTCTCTTTCTCTGGCTAATGATAGAATCACTACAATAAATCACAATATATGATCTTATTAGACTTTGACTCACATATATGGGTATGCGTGACATATCCATGGAGAAAACGTGTGTTTTTGACATGAGTACATCTTGGCTGAGCTGGTTGAAGGGTCCTAATTTCTAACCTAAGTGAATTAAATAAAATGTATGTTTTTTCCTGGTGTCCCCTACTTTTCTGTTGTTTGGTTATATTTTCTAATCCGTGGGAATACTTTCTCAGTGCTGCTTAAAAGATCTACTAACTGAGGTGGTTTGTATGTTTTTATAGTGATTACTAAAGAAATAGAGGCCTATAGACTGTTTACATCTTGTGTTCTCAGGGAAAATGGGGGTTATGTGGCTTGCAGGTGAAAAGGCATTCTATACGCATGCAATTATTTTTCCTAATGGCAGATTTCACAATGCTTTCCTACTTGTTTTAAAATGGGTGGCAGTTGCTTAACCTTCATAATGTATTTTGTGAAATTGAATTTAAAGAGTAATTTCCAGGCCAACTTAGCACTAGGCCAGAGTCCCTGTTCTAAATTTATATTGAAGTTAACCATTTTTGGACTAAAGTTAACCTTTGCTTAGTAAACACCTTATTCGTAGACAGAACTAAACAAAAGGACAAGCCAGATTGTAGGGTCATGTTTAAAATAATCCTTTAAAACATCTCTGTATATAGATGGTGCTTTCAGTAAAGATATTATTTAGAAGTTAGTTTTACTTACTTATTAAGACTTACCTCTTAATTACCTCAAGCTGTAGTTAAGTGAATATTCCTTGTTAAACTAGTTTATCCCTCTGTGATTTTAAAAGGAATAAAGCGCATGAAAACATTCTGTAAGTAAAGCTTTCTTTCCATAATTACCAGGTTATCCTCCAATTAGTATAAATGCTGCTACCTCATCTCATACCTTTGTGAAGAGTGGAACATGAAACCATCTAAACTGTTTCCCGATTTGAAATTGAGAAGTGCTGTAACTATTTTAGAGAATAACCTTTAGATTAAATGCATTCCTTGGTTGCATTTTAGGATTTAGAACAAGTAACTATCCAGAATACCAGAGGTATTATTAACAAATGACCAAAGATAGCTTTAACTTTTTTTTTTAAATATATCTTTATTGATTTCAGAGAGAGGAAGGGAGAGAGAGAGATAGAAACATCAATGATGAGAGAGTCATCATTAATTTGGTGCTTCCTGCACGCCCCTGACTGGGAATCGAGCCCCCAACCCAGGCATGTGCCCTGACCGGGAATCGAACCACAATCTCCTAGATCCTAAGTCGATGCTCAACCGCTGAGCCGCGCCCAGCTGGGCAATAGCTTTAACTTTTAACTAGCTGTATTAATTGCTAATTTTAACTTCTTAGAGAATAGAGAAGGAAAGTAATTGCCATATTGCATAAATGAAGATCATTTGACTTTTTGCACCTTATGAAGACAGAAGAAAGCCTTAGGAAATGAATGCTTTGATTGTGCCCAAATATCCATGTATTAATTTTAGTTGGTCAAACATTTGTAGAAAATGCTTGCAAGTTCAACTATGTCCTCTTAAATTCCAGGTCCTGCAGTAGACTGGTGGGCACTTGGAGTTTGCTTGTTTGAGTTTCTAACAGGAATTCCCCCTTTCAATGATGAAACACCACAACAAGTATTCCAGAATATTCTGAAAAGAGGTGATTCTTTTTCTCCTATTAAGATAGATTAATTTACCTCTGTGCATTATTTTGAGCAATGATCAATAAGCTTATTTGTATTTATAGATATCCCTTGGCCTGAAGGTGAAGAAAAGTTATCTGATGATGCTCAAAGTGCAGTAGAAATACTTTTAACCACTGATGATACAAAGAGAGCTGGAATGAAAGGTAAGGTTTTTGTATTAATAAACTCTTTTACCCTTGATTTGTTCCAGGGGGGTGAATGTTAATAATGACATGAAATTCACAATGCTACAGATAATTTAACTGTTACGTTTGATTTAAAAGAATTTTAGTTTATTTTTTCCCTCTAGGTATCCATTAATATATTTGTCCTTAGTCTACATTAAAATGTAATGTGGTCAGGTTGTGACAGTCACTCATGGAATTTTATTAATCTCAAGCGGGTACCTGAAACAGGCTTATCTTGTCAGTGTCTTAGGTTTATCAGAGCCTTATAAAGTTAACCATCAACAAATACAAGAATATTTTTTATCAAAACTTTAATTCTGTAATTTCTTGCTGCTTCATTTCTGATACCATTATTGACTGACAAATGTATCAGGTGCCAGGTTACCTCAAATAAGACAAATTAGTACATTATGATCCATTCAGTGGTTTTTTCCTACTGCGGGGATGTGTTAAACTACAGTTTTGAACCTCTAGTAAATCTCATCAGCTGCCCTAACATCCTTTTTGTAACAAGGTGTAGAGAGAGAGACAAATAAGCATTATGTCCCAAAACACATTTCCATGTGAAGTAGGGTATATTTAGAAAATTTAGCTTTAGTAACAGGTCATTTTCATCAGCTTCTGGGTATTACCTCTAGTAAGATGCACTGTTTGTTTGTTTATTTAACAAATCCTATAGAGTGACTTCTAGGTGCCAGAGAGTGTTGTTTCGGGTGCTGGAGGTACCCTGTAGATGTGATCTTATATTCTAGTGGAAAATCAGGAAGTAAACGAATGCATCCATGACATAATGTCATCTGGTGGTAAGGACTATGAAGAAAGATAAAGCAGGCCCTGGCCGGTGTGGCTCAGTGGTTAAAGCCTTGTCTGGTGCACGGAAGGGTGGAAGGTTCTATTCTAGGTCAGGGCATATACCCAGGTTGTGGGTTAGATCTCTGGTTGGGGTGCATGTTTCTCTCTCCCCCTCTCCCTTCCTCTCTCTAAACTCAATGAAAAGCATATCCTCGGGTGAGGATTAAAAAGAAAAGATAAAGCAGGGTGAGAGAATACAAAGTGATGGCAGGAGACTTTTTTTTTAGATGGAGTGGTGAGGAAGAGCTGTGAAAAGTGGAATTTGAGCAAAAATCTGTGTAAAGTGAGGCCGCAAACATTTGACAACTGAGCTCTAAAACTGATGTTAGAACAAGGGCTCTCAACTGGGGTAACTTTGCTGCCAAAGGACATTTGGCATTGTCTGGAGACGTTTTTGGTTGTCACAGCTGTTTGGAGCACTGAGTAGGTAGAGGACAGGCAGTCTGCTCAACATCCTACAATGCACAGGACAGTCCCCACAACAAAGAAATATCCAGTCCCAAATGTCAATTGTGCTGAAGTTGAGAAACCATTGTTCAGCAAATGGCTATAATGTACTGTAATTTGCTCAAAATAAGTGGAGACAGAAGAAAGGCAATTTTACCAGTGACCTCAGATTTCTGATGTTTAATGAATGGTTTGCAAAGGGAAACCAATAGTAGGGGTATTCTTCAGTTACAAAATAGTTGCTTCAGCTGTTTGTTTAGTTCATCTTAAACTAGATTAGAATTCCTTTGTAGATTCAGTTTAAATGAATAGTTATGATGAGAGGGTCATAAAGCATCACATTACATCCAGGTATCACAGTTTAAGAATTACTACAACAAGTAACTCTCAAGTATTCCACGCTCAGATATTTATTTTGAACAATTAAAAGACAAATTCTCTAAATGAAAATTGTTTTTGCTATTTTATCCCTGTATATTGCTACCAGTTTTTTAGTTTAAGAAAAAGGCAACATGTAGACATATGGATTTTCCAACTCATCACCCCCAATACAGACACATAATTCTTTTCCATCTGTGTAGTCTTCTCCCAATATTTGCCTCAAATTTGATTGCTGCTTTTTTTAACTATTTACTGCCTAAATGGCCACTTCTTTATTTTGTCAATGTTATTGTTGCCTTATGAAGTGAAAGATTGAGAGGGGAGGTTATGTCTAGCAACTAGTGTGATCAAAAGAGCATATTTTCATTTTAGTAGGTAGAAGGAAATAGGAAAGATGACAGGTATAAAAATGTAGTTAAAGAGATGAGCAAAGTCGAGATTTTGTAAATTGGCGGAGCCCCCCGGCAGAGTCAAACGGTCCTGAGGAAGGGGGGGTGAGGATGAAGAAAAGACAGACACAAAAAAGATGGGATCCGCAGGGCTGCAGCTCGTGCCTGCTGTCAGCTGCCAGCCCCGGGGCTATTGTTTTTGCTGAACAGCACCCCGTCCTGTTTTCCTCTCCCTTGCCCGATACAAAGTAATTCCTTTAAGGCCATACAACTGCTCTTTCCAAGTAAACATCCTGCCTCTTGCAGGAGCTCAGACCTTGGTAACTAACCTTGCCTCGGCTTCTAATAGGAACTTTTGGGGGGGATTAATTCCTTGGCTTGGTATGTGGCTTGACTGTCCCTTAACCCTTCAGGCCGGGGCCAACTTCCTAATAAGCCTTTCTAGAATCTAAGGCTGCAAGCTAAATTAGTATCGCCTTGGTGCCTCAAGGTCTGGGTCAGGGAGCAGGGGAGCACATCTGCAGCTCACCCAGGCAGCTCCTCTGTGCCTGGGGCCACAGCAGCTCACCCACATCTCCCAGGGAGCAGGGGAGCACTTCTGCAGCTCACCCAGGCAGCTCCTCCGTGCCTGGGGCCACAGCGGCTCCCCACAGTAAATGGAAGCAGTAAAGATCCCAGGTGTGACCATACTGCTGGATAGTCGGTGTTTTGTGAAGATGCAAGTCAGTGATATCAAGGAAGTCAAAGAACCATGATGAGAATGTGTCAGAAGTGTCACCAATGTATATGTTGAAATCACCATGACAGGTAAGGGATGGAGCACAGCAAAGACAGCAAGGGAGTGGAGATGAGCTTCTTGCTAAAGTTACCTAAGGCAATAGATAGTGCTAAGGACTGAAGAGATATAAAGAGGTAACAAGAACTTGGAATGAGAAATGGGACATTAATCATGGAAGGTGAGTGGTGTGGAAGCTGCATGGGGGAGCAGGAAGTAGATCACATTCTCTCTCCTCAAGTCAGGGATTATGTGGGAAGATGGAGGCAGTGAGAAAGGCTTCTGTTAAGGCAAATCATTCAATCACTCATTTGACAAATGTAGATCAGGTACCTGTCCTATACCAAGTGATACACAGAATGACACAGTGTATGTCATTGAGAAGGATGTGGTTAAACAGAGAAACATACAAACAAATGCCTATGAAAGTGGCATAATAAAATAGGTCAAGATACAAGAGCGTCTCTTCTTCATTCTGGTAGAACAGTACTTGCTTAGGTGATGGGGTTATAATATTTCCATTTTGTTTTATATTTTTCCGAAGAGCTGAAACATCATCCTCTCTTCAGTGATGTGGACTGGGAAAATCTACAGCATCAAACTATGCCTTTCATACCCCAACCAGATGACGAGACAGATACGTCATATTTTGAAGCCAGGAATAATGCTCAGCACCTGACTGTATCGGGATTCAGTCTATAGCACATAAATTTACCCTTTCACCTAACCTTGCCTTATAGAAGGAGCTAGCATAATTATATACTCCTTAATAATACTTTTATTTAGGGGGAAAAGTCATTTTACCTGGATCAATGAGCTTCTAATGTATGGTTACAGCTTCCACAGAGGTAAAAGGCTATCAAGAATATAATCAATAACTTATCTTAATCTCAAAGCTTCTTTCATCTTATTTATTTTGTCTCTGCACTTTATGAAAATTAATGCATCAATAAAACTAGAATGGCACTACCACTTTAGAGAAAGTGAGCCTGAGTTTGATTTTCTTTCTCATCTGTTGATTTCAGTACACCGTTCAGTTTGGTGTTAAAGTAACAGAAACACCATACAGTTTTATTTTAATGTAATTTATTTGTACATGACTGCCTGCAAAAGCTGTAGTCTCAAGGGCAATCCTTTAAGGCTGCATTTATGACCTCAAAATGCAGCTGGAAAATTCCTTCACTCGTAGTGTAGGTCCTTTTGGGAATGAGGGATAAACAAAAGGACTACGGTTTTGGCTTACTTTCCTATGAATACAGTTTTGCTACTTTGACTGCTTCTGGTGCATTCTCTACAATGCATATTTGTTTAAAATGGTACTAGAAAGGTTAGGTGTGATATAGTATAGCAATTTTAACAGCTTGTTCAGTTTTAATAAAGAATGTGATGGTTTACATGTTAAAATAATTTGTTTAAAACATATGCAGCATTACCAGAGACACCCTGATCCTTTATAAGAAATGTACTTTGATTTAATAAATACAGTTGTAACATACCTCAAGTATATTATTTGTCAACATCATTCTTTTATACACACACACACACACACACTAAGATTCAGCTTCACAGGTTATAAAAACATCAAGACTTTTAGCATACTTACCCCTCAAAAGAGCAGAGTTCAAATTTAAATATATCGTACATAAATTTGCTGCTAATCTATTTAATACTATTGTTCGTTTTGCACTTGGCTCTATGTTTTTACTTTCCATTACCATCCCAGTAAGAACCATGCTAATGTAGCTGAGGAAAATAGTACAAGTGTAAAACTTACAGTAAAAGAGACGGTTATAATCAGTGCTATATAACTGAATCCATGGTTTAATGATTTTACTGAGTTTAAGTAATGACTACTTAGATTTAATGCTCCTAATACCTCTTCTAATAAAATATTTAAAATAAATTATTAAAACTTCATTTAATATAAATTATATCTTTCCCATAATTAGGTAAAAGCATAGGATTATTTTTATGATATTTTTAAGTAGTACAGAGAACAGTGGCTGTGGAATCAAGCACAAACAGTCTAAACCACCCTAGCCACTGAGCAGTGGTTAGAGCATTGGCCTGCAGACTGAAGGGTCCCAGGTTGGATTCCGGCCAAGGGCACATGCCTTGGTTGCAGGCTGGATCCCCAGCCCTGGTTGGGGCACGTGCGGGAGGCAACTAATCAATGTTTCCCTCTCTTTCTCTCCTATTTTCTAAAAAGCAATGGGGGAGGGGGAGTCTACACCATTGCTCTACCACGTAAAAGACCTTGGGCAGATAAAACTCTAAGGTACTGATTATTTACCTATACAGTGCAGATAAAAAATAAGGAACAAGCAAAAATAAAAATAATAAAATTTAAAAATCAATAATAAGGACCAAACCAGTTCTTTAATAGAACTGCCCAGGACACCAGTCTTATCATGTACTTGAAACATTACTGAATAACGGGAAATGTACAGTGACCCTATTCCCAAGGCAAGGGACCGTACCTTTAAGTGGGAACATTTGCTGTTACAGACCTAGCATGTGCTGCTATAGTCACCTGGAACACTGCGTGCTGTAATGGTGTTTACTGGGAACAAGTGATTTATTACCTAAACTTAACCCTTTAATACACCTGTCAAGTTGTGGGTTCAGGTACTGGTCAAGGAAAAACCTGAGGCTTCCAGTCAACGTGGCTGAGCAGGTAACCTCAGCGCTTGCATCCTCCCACAACTACATCAAATCACAACTATGGACAGCCATCATGGAGAACCACCTGAAGCCTAGCTGAACAGAAGTCCTATAACTAAATATATACAGAAGAAGCCACATATGAACCTGGTAGAAGGGGTGGAGATGGGACGGGCAGATCCCACACCCACATGTAGCAGTAAAAATAGGGAGGGACCTCTCTGCTATGGAAAACTCTGAGAATCCGGAAGTCCCAGCTCCACACGAGGATCTCCAGCCCAGGTTCCAATGCCAGGAAGAGAAGTCCCCATAACTTCTGGCTATGAAAACCAGTGGGGACTGTGGCTGAGTGAGACGGCAGCTGGAGACCCAGCCGTTCCTTTTAAGGGGCCCATGCACAGACACTCAGACACACTCCCTCAGCTCCAGTGCTGGGGCAGCAGCTTGAAAGGCACCAGGGACATACACGAGGAACTGGATTGTCTGCTTCAAGGCGAGGACTAGAGGGGCAGCTTTCTCCCAGACAAGTGTTAGCAGAGGCCATTGTTCCTTTGCTGAGCCCTCCCCCTCACACATCCAGGGCCATATCTGAATCTCCATGTCCCTGACTAACATGGCTAGCCCTTCCCTGGTATTTCCCTGAGACCCCACCCCACCCAACATGTGGGCTCACCCAAGCTGCTTCCAGTGGTATTTCCATACAAACAGCCTCTCTTGGTTCATGCTGCACACTTTCATAAAATCTCTCAAAGGTTCCACAAACCCCAAACAAGCACCATGTGGCCTCAGCGTGCCCTGTACCTCTTGCTAAGCAGCCCCAAGCCTGGGACTAGTGGCAACTGGCCTCTCCCAGATACCTCCAAGCCCAGCACAAGTCGCAGTCATCTGCAGCTCACTTTGTAGCTCGTGCCGGTTGGCCCTGGGCAGGGCACAGGCAGTGGTTTGATCTTGGCCTGCACCTCCCAGGAGGACCCTGAGCCAACACACCCAGAAGACAACTTCAGATTACACTGGAGCTCCACCCAACCACCTCCACCAGCATCACACTCAAGGGGCAGACTCAGGCGACACCAGAGCCCTACTGAAGGAAGTCTTGCTCTGTGGGGTGGTTTCCTGCACAAGAGCTCCTCCACTGTAGTCACAACTGGTCCTTGCAGACAAATGTCCTGGAAGTAAATTCTTCCCATTGGTATGCCAACAGCAATCAAGGCTCAACTACAATAGGAGGGTACACACAACCCACATGGAGGGTGCACCTGGAGTGCCACACCCAGATGACCAGGGAGGCTGCACTACTGGGCTCCATAGGACAACTACTACACTGTCAAGACTGGAAGATGTAGTAGCTCTAACTAACAGATACAAACACAGGGAGGCAACCAAAATGAGGAGACAAAGAAACATGTCCCAAATAAAAGAACAAATCTCCAGAAAAAGAACTAAACAAAATAGAGTCAAGCATCTACCAGATGCAGAGTCTAAAACACCGGTTATAAGGAGGCTGAATGAACTTAGAGGAAGAATAGATCAACTCTGTGAAAACTTCAACAGAAACAGGAAACAGAAATGGAGATAGAAAAAAAGGACCAATCAAAAATGAAGAATACAAAAACTAAAATAAAGAATACATTAGAAGGAGCCCAGCCAGCATGGCCCAGTGGATGAGCATTGACCTATGATCCAGGAGATTGAAGTTCGATTCCCAGTCAGGGCACATGCCCGGGTTATAGGCTCGATCCCCAGTCAGGGATGTGCAGGAGGCAGCTGATCAATGACTCTCTCATCACTGATGTTTCTGTCTCCCTTCCTCTCTCTCTGAAATCAATAAAAGTATATTAAAAAAAACAAAAACAGAATACACTGGAAGGAATGAACAGATTAGATGTAGCACAGGATCAAGTCCATGATTTGGAAGATAAGGTATTAGAAAACACCGAATCAGAACAACAAAAAGAAAAACGAATCCAAAAAAATGAGAGTAATTTAAGGGGCCTCTGGGACAACATCAAACATACCAACATTTGCAACATGGAAGTGCTGGAAGAAGAGAGAGAACAAAGAACTGAAAACCTATTTGAAAAAATAATGAAAGAGCCCTAGCCAGTTTGGCTCAGTGGTTAGAGAGTCGACCCAAAGACTGAAGGGTCCCCGGTTTGATTCCAGCGAAGGGGACGTACCTGGGTTGCAGGCTCAATCCCCGGCCCCAGTCTGGGTATATGTGGGAGTCAACCAATCGATGTGTCTCACATTGATGTTTCTCTCTCTCTCCCTTCCACTCTCTCTGAAAAGCAATGGAAAAAATATCCTCCAGTGAGGGTTTAAAAAAAAGAAAAATTTTAAAAAAAGAAAATAAAGTCCCTAAACTTGGCAAAGGAAATAGACATACAAGTTTAGTAAGTGCAGAATCCCAAACAAGATGAACCTAAAGAACCCCACACCAAGACACATCATAATTAAAATGCAAAAGGTTAAGGACAAAGAATCTTAAAAGCAACAAGAGAAAGGCAGTTGGTTACCTACAAAGGAGCTCCCATAAGACTGTCAGCTGTTTTCTCAGCAGCAACTTCTCAAGCCAGAAGGGACTGGCACAAAATATTCAAAGTGATGAAAAGCAAGGACCTACAATCAAGATTACTCAGCAAAGCTATTGTTAAGAATCAATGGACAGATAAACAGCTTTCCAGACAAGAAAAAGCTAAAGGGGTCCATCACCACCAAACCAGTATTACAAGAAATGTTAAAGGTCTTATTTAAGACGAAGGAGAAGAAAAGAGATAAAAAATATGAATAATTAAATGGCAATAAATACATATCAACAATTACTTTAAATGCAAATAGATTCAATCCTTCAATCAAAAGACACAGGGTGACTGAATGGAAAAGAAAACAAGAACCAATCATATGCTGCCTACAAAAGATCCACTTCAGATAGCAAAACACACACAAACTGGAAGTAAAGGGATGGAAAAAGTTATTTCATGAAAATGGAAGCAAAAGCTGGGGTAACAATACTTATACCAGACAAAATAGACTTCAAAACAAAGGCAATATGCCCTAGCCAGTTTTGCTCAGTGGTTGGAGCATCGGCCCATGGACTGAAGGGTCCCAGGTTCGATTCTGGCCAAGAATACAGACCTCAGTTGCAGGTTCGATCCCCGGCCACCTTAGTGACTTGCTTCTAATGGACAAAGTGGTGAAAGTGACTCTGCACAGCAGGATAGTTTAGAAAGGGCAACACAGCTTCTGCCTGGCTCTGTCTTGGTACACACACCTTGGGAGCCTCAGCTGACATATAAGAAGTCCTGCTATCCTGAAGACACAATGCTGAAAAGACAATATGGAGAAGCCACATATAAAGAGAAATACCCACAGAACCCCAGTTGTGGTGGCCTCCAGTCTTTAGAGTCTTCACAGAAGCAACTGCCAGATGAGTGAGCACAAATTCAGATGACTCTAGCCCCCATTCTGAGTTGACTCAAATATCATGGAGCCCTGCTGTGTCCCATCCACACAATCCATGAGCACAATAAATGGCTGTTTATGCCACTAAGTTTTTGGGTAATTTGTTATCCAGCCATAGTAACTGGAACACCCAAAAAGTACAGAGAGAATAGGAAAGGACACAACAAAATAAATGGGTGAGGTAGTAAAAAAACTAGAATGAAATCCTTGGTGAGTCATGGAGAGAGCCAAGTCAATCCAATGCACCCTACAAAAGTCCTCAAAAAGGTTCAGTCAGGAGGGGGTACCACGAGCATCCCAAAGTAAGAATGAAAGCGAGTGGTTAAAATAATTACAGGCATACCTCAGAGATATTGCAGGTTCTGTTCCAGACCACTT